TCAGGAGTTCTTCCACCATATCTTCACCTGAGTGGGGGCGGTCCTTATCATGGGGCAGGAATAACAGTAGGTGGTGGGCAGGAGCTATCAGGTGTAGCTTGTCCCCCATCATCTACATTTCTTTATAGGCAGTAGCACCACTGCCCTGACTTTGGCCAAGGTCAGTTCTTTTCCCACATGGCTCTTGCAATCTATGAAGCCAAAGGTCTGATGCCCCTCTCCTCCTTCCCATTCAGTCACTACTTTATTTCAGGACTTTAACTCTTTGTGCTTGACCAGTGGTTCTCAAATTGCAGGGTGCATAGGTTCATGGAGAAGACATATCCAGTGGAAATTCCTGCCCACCCTTTCCTGCAGATTTAGAAGAGAGCCTTAGGACCTTGACGCTGGTGGCCCATGGGCCTCATTTTGGGAAACACTATGCCAAATACTTCTATTAGCTACCTGGTTGATCGTCTGTCTCCATCAAGAGTCACTGCAACAGAACCATAATCACTTCCTAAACACACCTCTCTTCATCACCCTTCTTCCCTTCTTGCTTTCACTCTTTTTTTTTTTTTTTTAAAGATTTATTTATTTAATTATACAAGCACTGGGTATAGTCAGAAGCACGGGAGGGTGAGACAATTCACCAGAGCCAGAGTGGGGAGCAGAACAGGTAGACTGACGAAGTACACTGCTGAGGGGAGCAGTGGGCACGGCAGGATTGGTCTGCGTGCCATGTGGGACCCTCGCCGGTGGCCGGGGATCGAACCATTGCTGCAAAGGCTGCGGGCAGCTTTGCAGGCCAGTGCTCAACCACTGTACCACCGGGGAGGCCCCATGCTTTCACTCTTACTTTCCATCTGAAGTGCACCTTTTTCTGTGAAAGTTTGTGGTTTTTCAAGTTTTAGGCTAAACATAGTATCCCTTCGAAAGCCCTCTCTGATTTTTCAGGGTGTCTAGCTCAGGGTCATTGAGTGTGAATGAAGGGGTGGGACAGGGAAATAAAGAACTATGACCTTGCTGGAACATCATTCTTTGAAATCACCCCACCTTTGAAAACACACCTCCTCAAGGTAGCAACACTACTGTTTTATTCTTTAAAGCACTCCCTTTTTTTTTTTCTATAAAATATGCACACAAATTATTTAAAGAGTTGTTCTTAAAATTTGTCATAAAGAATCACTGTCTTTCATCCTTTTCCTTCTCCAGAGACAGACACTTGAATCTCTTTCAGCTGATTATTTTTTTTCATTGTTTCTAGAAAATATGCTCATGTTGCTTGTATTTGATTTTTTACTTTTTTGCACTGTTTGTGACTTTTCACAGAAGAGAATAGCCCCTTAACCCTCTGTCCTCCACCTATACCTTCAACCCACACCCCTCCCCCTTGCCACGTGTTTGGTTGCTTGGCCAGTTTTCCCATCCAGTATGACACACTGGGTCCCCCTGCCCTCAGTGACTGCTGCCATCTGCCATCTGACTGTCCAAATCAGATCTCCAGGCATGCTTCTCAACCCTGTCCTCTGTGAGGTTGGGCCATGTGATGTGTCATTTCTGGGTCCAGGCCACGAACAGCTGTGTGCCTTCACATCTCTTCTGTTCTCCACAGTGGACCTCTGAAGCCCAGGTTCTAGGTGCAGTAGCTGCAGGATGAAAGAAGGCTACTCTACCCACATGGGACTTCCCATGAGTGAGAAATAAGTCTTTGTTGTGCTCAGCCAACACAGGTTTGGGATTTATCACTGCAGCACAGTCTGTTGTCACCTGAGTTATAAGTTGTAGGGAAAATGGAGTAGCTCAGGCTCTTTTTTGCTTCCTGCCCCTGGTGTCCAGAGCTACCACCTGTGGCCTTGCATTTACCCCAGGTTGCATTATCTGCATGTGATAACATGTTGGTGCAGTGGGCACTTGGGAGTGTGAGCACAGGGCATGCTTGCCTTTGATTACGGACACTTGGGCAGAGAAGCCAGGCAGCACAGGATGTGTGCATTTGTAAATGCAGACACCTGGGCCACAGAAAGAGGGATCAAAGGGGCTCCTCAGCTCTGGCATTCACAGTGGCATCACTCTGAGGTCAGGGGGCTCAGTTGCTGCCTCCCTTCCTGGACTGCCTATGTACTTGGTCCCAAGTCAGCATGCAAGGCATGCTAGATACCAAAGGCTCCAAATTCTGTTTGTGTCTGCCTGGATCAACAATGAACCTATCTGGCCTGGGATGGTTGCACAACATGGGTTTATCCAAGGCCCTCTGGGGTCTGGTCTGGCTCTGTCTCTAACTTGACTTTCTTTTCCATCCCTTAGACTCTGTAATGACATGTCATGTTCGCCCCTGCTTCCAGGCATTTATGCATGTAGTTCTCATTATTTAGAATGTATCCTTGTCACCCACCCCCTCTTTGCCGCATTACCTTCATGTGGCATCTTCTCCATCTTCATGTCTTGGCTTAGAAGTCTCTTCCTCTGGGAAGCCTTTCAAGATGCCCAGCTGCTGACTGGGGAGGTGTTTCCTCTGTGTCTCCTGGAGCCCATGCCAGCCCTTCTCCCCCACTCTCTTGAAGTTGCCTGTTCATTGGTGTCCCTGAGCATCCTGGCTTGGCCCCTTCCTGGTGGTCTTCTGAGGTCTTGGGAGGTGCTTAGTTCACTTTTGGGGGAAAGCTCTATGGGGTTCCAGGGGAGGAGCTACAGATGAAAAGCTGTAGTTCAGGTTTCTTTTGCCAAAACTTGCTGGTGGTTTAAATTCCTGATAGTGTGTTAATTAGTGGTTTGGAGGGAGACAGTGTCTAATCCGACAGAGCTGATTTAACTTCTGGTCTTTCTCACTGTGTCGTGTTGAACAAGTTATTTAGCCCTTGGGCCTTGATTTCATCTTCTAGTAGGAATAGTAGTAGTAATAATAATAATATTCACATCACTGTTTTGTTGTGATGATTGAATGTGTTGATATGTATAACACTCAGAGCAAAGTTTAGCATAGAAAAGTACTCAATAAATGTTAGATACAGCATTATTTTTAGAATATCTCAATGTAAATGTGGTGTGCTGGATTGGATCCTGGAACAGAAAAAGGGCACTGGGAAAAAAAAAAAAACCTGATGAAATCCAAATAAAATTTGAAGTTTAGTAAGTAGTAGTATTCCAATGTCAGTTTCTTAGTTTTGACAGATGTACCACTGTAATGTGAGATCACTTTAGGGGAAACTGGGTGGGGAATATATGGAAACTGTGCTATCTTTGTAATTTTTTAGTGCATCTAAAATTACTCCAGGATATATTATTAACTTGATACTCATTCTCACAACGTCCCTATATGATGTAAGCATGTAATTATTGCCATTTACAGATGAAGAAATTGAGGCACAGAGAAGTAACTTGCCCATGGTCACCCCTTAGAATCTAGCGGTGGGCATGATTGATGGGCTGGAATTTATATAGAATGCAGTATGTTGTGATAATCATTTTATAGTACATACATATGTCAAGACATTATGCTTATAGAATATTGTATGTCAATTATATCTAATAAAACTGGGCAAAATGAATAGAAGTCAACAATAAACATTTATTGAACTCCTTCTTTGTATAAGGCACCACTCTCTGCTATGTCAATACAGAATAACAGGTGGTCTCTGTCCTCTGGTCATTACAAGTAGGAAGCCTGAGTTCACAAAGGGGTAAGGACAGAATCCAGAATGGGAACCTGGGCTCAGCAGAACCATGCTCTTAACCATCGCACCAGACAAATTTGGGGGAATCACATGCAATTCACAGTGGAAGTGCAGAGGTAAAACCAGATCTGGTTGGGGGGCTAGAACAGTTGTTTCATGGGGGCTTTGACATGTGTCTTGAACCTGAACATAAGCTGGTAGGGTAGAGAGAAAAGAAAATCACCAGGGAATGGTCTTAGGGCCTTGGTTGAACCACTTGTCTTGTGCTACCTTTGCTTTCTTCTGACCAGCTGTGAGAACTGAACCCCACTAGTATATACTTGGTTACTCTGTTTAGCACTTCAAACAAAGCCAGCAGCTCAGCATGCACAGAGTAGGGGGTCTTGCAGGGAGGCAGCTGGGTTTCAGCAATTCTTTTTCTTCTTATCACCCGTGTGATTTTGAGCTTCTTACTTACCCTCTCTGAACCCCAGGAAAACTAGAATAATGAAGACCACTTGATCTGGTTGTTGTGCAGGTTGACCAGGTGAGAAAATATGTACAAAGCCACGTAGGCTGCTGGGTGCTTGGACTCAGTAGGTGGAGGCCCTCTGGTGTGCTCATCCTTTGTTTAGTCCGAGGTTTGTATGAGGGCCCCTGGGTTATGTGACTGAACATTTTCTTGGTAGGCATCCTTTGTGCAAAGAATGTGGACCAGGGGAGACTGTGCTTCTGACCCACTCGGTGTCCTTGGTCAATTGTTTAACCTGTTTGGATCTCAATTTTTCACTGTAAACTGGCATCAATATTCTGGGATTGTTGTAATTACAGTCAAGTGTTGCTTAATGATGGGGATATATTTTGGAACATTCTGCAAAAAATGGCTTTGGATGGTTTATTGCTATGTGAACCTCACAGAGTAATTACATCAACCTAGATCATAGAGTGCAGTAGGCGAGTCTACACACTCAGGCTGTGTGGTAACAGTCTTTTGGGACCATTGTTGACTGAAATGTCATGAAGTGGTGAATAATTGTATCAGAGGGACTGTGAAGATGGTTCATGGGCACATCCCTTTGATGTTCTTGTTACTGGGTTTGCATTTTTCTCCATTTGAGTCATCTTAATCTTGACTTCTCCCCAAATGGTTTGCTCTTAGAGGACACGTTGTAAATCTCATATTTATCATACTTCCTCCCTCCAGCTCTTAGTTGAGGTGCACAGTAGATGCTTATTAAACAGAAGTGGGTCAGCTTTGGGGGTGGGCTTCCTCAACAGTTAGATGCACCTATCAGCTTTGTTCTGCCCTGTCCTGCTGAGCTCAAGGAAGCGCCTGGAGCAGGAAAAGGGCCAGCCTGGGAAATGGTCATCAAACATTTACTTTATTTTACTAATAGGCTTCATGTCTAAGACAGCTCTGTGTGAGTGAGCTGGGGAGGGCAAGGAGAAGGCTGGGAACCTGGAAAGGTACATTAGAGTGGTCAGGGTAACTAAATCAGCTGAGGAAACCCGTCCTGGACTGAGCCAGTCATGCCTTGGAAAATGCGCCTCGTGACCTGCACCTTCTGCCCGTGCTCGTCCTCGTCTTCTGTCTCCTCCGTCCTGCGGCGAGTGCTCTGGTAGAGCACCGCACACACGCCCGTGAGCCAGGCGGCCACAGTGCCCGCCGAGAAGATGCAGAAGCCGATGAGCAGCAGGAAGATGTAGTCTTGACTGTCCAGGTGCGTGAGGCACATGTAGCGCAGTGGGTTCCCCACCTGTGTGATGGGCCACCCTGCCAGCTCTGTGGGCTCCAAGCATGTGGCATATTCTTCATCTAGGGGAAAAAAATACAATAAGGAGAGTGCTGAAATAGTAGAACTCCCAGGGTCCCGATGCCAAGGGGCACTTGTGCAGCTGGCTAGACCCTTGTTATTCAAAGTGTATTTGGTAGGTAGGCAGCTCTAGCATTACCTGGACCACAGCTGAAATGCAGAATCTCAGGTACTGCCTCCTGACCTCCTGAATTCAGATCAGTCTTAACAAGATACCCGCACATTAAAGTTTGCCAAGTACTGCATTTGGATGAGTTTTGGCCCCAGGTTCGGCTGAATCCAGGTTATTTTCTGAAAATGGACTGTGCTATTTAATGACCCTCAAGGAATTAGACAATAGGGGCTGAGAGGTTGGAAACTTAAGCAAGATCATCTTGGAGTGTTGATACTCCACAGACCTCAACCAACATTCATCAGCTACCCCCCCTTCCCTTCTTGCCCCCCATCTGTCCCTCCACCTTCTCCCTTTCCTTCCACTGTGCCCAGGGCTTAATAAGTGACCTTTAAGGCCACTCAAGGCATCATGGGCCACTTGGCTCAACTCAAGGGAGGGACAAGATTCCCTGGAAATGCTCGCTGTGTGTTCACTGTGTCTCCCATCTCCTATCCAGGAGAGTCAGGGGGGAGCTCAGGAAAAGAAAACCAGCAGGGGAGTCAGTTCTGCTCTTAGCTGTGACATTGGCATCACTGACAGATCACATGGTCGCCATGAGTCTTCAGCTCCTTTTAGCCACTGACTCAGCCCCCTGGTCACTTCTCTGGGCACCTCCCTACCTGGAGCTCTGTGACTTCTATACACAACAGAAAGCTAAGTGGACTCTGGAGTTTGACAGGCCAGGGTGCAAATCAAGACTCAAGTTTACAATTGTAAACTTGTCATTTTATAATCTTGGGCAGGATATCCGATTCTCTCTCTGCATCTCATTTTCTCATCTTACAAATGCAAAGAACGATCTTTATGTTTGAGGGAATGAGAGGATTTAACAGCCACAGATGATAAGGCAGCTGTTGCACCTGCAGCACAGCATTGCCGAGGGGCCTGAAGCTGCCCTCATTTTTGCATTTTTTCAGCTCTGAAGGCTCCACCATACTGATGCTGAGGAGCCGGGGTGGATATATTCAGCAGACAGGAGATAAATGAACTTAAATGCAGGATTGAGACCTGGGCATGTGAAAACAGATCAAAATCATAATAGCAGCTGATATTTGCCAAGTTCTGACATGCATGATATATGCATTATCTCATTTAATTTTTATAACAATATTGCTATAAAATGATCATGTTACAACACACAACATGATCATCCTTGTTTTATGCATAGGGAAACAGACTCAGAGGTTCAGAACCTGAAGTTTCTAGCTAACTTGTAGCATCCAGGGAGGAGAGAGAAGACAGAACACACGCACTGAGCAATTCGAGCTGGTCTGGCAGAAGTAGGAGATAAACATAAGCTTTCATGGAGAAAGCTTCCCTTATGCTTTGGGGTAAAAAGTTCAGACTGTATGGGCCTCCCTGGTGGCGCAAGGGGTTAAGTATCAGCACTATGAAGCAATCCGCAGCTACTGCAGCACGAGTTCGATCCCCAGCCAGGGAGGTGACCCACATGGCGCAGAAGACCTCTTCTGACTCGCCTGCTGTATTTCAGTAGATCTGTCTGTTCTGCTCCCTTCTCTGTCTCTGGTGGATCCTCTCACCAACCCCTCCTCGCACTTCTGGCCTGTGTCCCATTTCTTGTATGCCTGGATAGATAATTCTTCAAAAAAAAAAAAAAGTCCAGACTATGGAAGGTATTGATATCCATGGTGACCAAGGAAGTTGGGACTGGAGCTTGAAGCAGGAGAAATGGAGAGAGGAATGCAGAAGTGAGTTTACTGGGATGATGCAGCTGGGTTTGGAAGCTGGAAAAAGTGGACCAGACTGAAAGCTCTGTTAAGTCTCCCTGCCATTGGACACTCTCCCCTGGGCTCCCTCCCCAAGTTTCTGAGTTGCTGCATCTATGGTGAAGTTGCTGTACTTTTAGGAAGAGGGCTGGGAGGTGTGATGCTGGTGAGGACTGGCTTCCAGAGGACGTTCTAAACAGGCAGGGAAGCCAGCTCAGGGGCTGTTGCGTCCACTGTCACATAGGAGAGGAAGAAACCCCCTCTAGGTGGGACAGTGGAGGCACCCCTGACCTGGTGGAGGAGATCGCTCTAGAGGCAAAGGGGATGGATGGGTTGTCAGGTTGCAGTTAAGGGGCAGGGACGCAAGGACACCTCTAACCTCTCTCCATCAGTTTGGCTCCAGGACTCTGGGGGATGGACAGGTGAGGTGCAGGGAGGCTCCTGGTGACTCTTCCGGGATTCCAGCAAAAGAACCCATGGATCACCTGCCTAAACTGCCCGAATCAAGGTGCAGGAATACACAAAGAGATGTGCTTGAGAAAGGAAAGCACTGGGTTTGGAGGGCCTGGGGTGTACCGAGGTGGGGGGGGGTTTAGCTCATTCTATTTTTAAAAAGATTGGGCTCTCCAATTAGGTCTTGGGTGGCGCAGATGAGACTAAACATTAAACACACATTTCCCCACTTCAGAGTATTACCCTTGAAAGGAGCAATTAGGCAGTGATTTTAATGCATTGTTAGTCTGCTCTTAAGTGCGGGACGTGGGTGGCTCTGTGGGGAGGGGTTTTCACTGCTGCTTTCTCTCTTCCCTGTCACTGCCAAAGTGTGAGTTCTCCGCCTCCTAGCAGGTCTCTTATCTCGTGCTTCCTAGTTTCCCAGCTCTTTCCACGCCCTTTTGTAAACCCAGCTCTGTCCAGATACACTCAGGCTCAACACTCTCCTTGACTCCCCAGTGGACTGAGGAATAACATCCAGACCACCTGGCCTGGCATTCAGAACCCTCTGCCCACTCTACCTTTTCCACTTTACCTCCCAGGACTCACAGTAACTCCCTAACAAATTAATCACGTCTCCTTTGTTACATCTTGCCATTATTGGTAGCTTTGTTCACTTTTCTTTAATGCACTTCCTTCAATTTTTGCATGACCAAGTTTTTCCTTCAAGGTCTAGTATATGCAGCTGCTCCCAGGACTGCTTCCTCCAGCACTGCATTCCTATAACTCAAAACACTTGTGATTGTTTCCACTCCTGAACTCATCTATAGTATTTCTCTTGTATCCTTCCACTGCACCTCTCACATTCTATCTGGCTTGATAGTTACTTATCAGAAAAGTGATGCATCTTTCTCCCTTACGAGACACGTCTGATTCATGATTGTTCTTGTGAGTGAGAGCTATCATTTATTGAATGAGTTACCTGGTTTTTAAATATTTAGGGAGTCTAGCAATATTTTTTATTATTGAATTCTAGTTTAATTCTACTGTGGTCAGAGATATATGTTCGTTGATTTCAGTCCTTTGAAATTTACTGAGGATTTGCATTTTGGCTTAGCGTAAGGACAATTTTAGTAGTTTTGCTTGTACACAGAAAAAATGTATATTCTTTTTGAATACATTGTTCTATGTATATCAATTAGGTTGTGATTTTATACAATTCTTCTATAGCTTCACTGACTTTTACTTATGTTTTTATTGACTTTAATCATATTGTCAATTACTATTAGTCTCTTAGTTACTACAAGAAGTATATTAAAATCACCTGTTTACTTGTGCCTCTCTATAGTTCTAACTTTATTTTATATCTTTTGAAGTTATGTTGTTATTACAGAGTTATGACTGTTGGATCCTCCTGGTAGTTTTACCCTTTTCTCATTATTTTTAGTCTACTTCGTTTGACATTAGTATGGCTGTATTGAATTTCTTTTGGTTAGGATTTGCATTATGATCTTTTCCTCTCTTTTTACTTTTAATCTTTCTGTGTTCCTGTATTTAAGGTATATTTTTGTAGGAAGTATGGTCCTGGGTTTTGTTTTTAATCCAATCTAGCAAATTTTGTAATGTTGGATAACTATGGGTTACACTTTTCCATTTGTCTCACTTATGTGCCTCTCCCTTTACTTTGTTGCCTTCTATTTTATTGCCTTTCCTTTAGTTTGTTAGTCATACATTCTTTTCCTACTACTTTGTGATGCTTTTATAAACCACACACAGATCTACCGATCCTAGCCTGATATGTGCTAGGCACCATCACACATGCTTTACAAACTTTAACTATTCTTGATCACCCCAGCTGGTCATTTTAAGAATCCCATGCTATGGAATGAATGAGTTATTCATCAGTTATTCCCCTGCTGGCTTTTTTGGTTTCCTTGCCTACAAAGGGCTACGAGGGACCACTGTGTATGCTGTGCACTGTGCAACTCCAGGGGGCTTTACTCACATTACAGACAAGTGACTAGACCTCATGTTATTCCTCCTCTACCCCCCTCTATGGCTCCAGGGCATCTGCTCCAGTTAAAGCACCCAGATACAATTACAGGTATCATTAATGTTTAAATTCTTCCTTCAGAAAGTTCCTAAGGAAACGTAAACCAACCCCTTGTTTGTTTCCATCCACAGCACTTTGCTCACAAGCACAAGGATCAGATGGGTGGATGAACTGCAGTTTCTGTGGCCCAGAAAGAACTTTACACTTTTAGTGAAGGAGCCCAGGTGACTGCCCTCTCAGAAAACTGGCTTGGATTGAGTTGTGGAAGGGGAACTGCCCCTCTTTTTGGCCTGCAGAAGAGACAGCACTTCTGCCCAGGGGTGTGCTGCAGGTTTCCGTGGTTAGATGCCCAGAGGAGCCACGTACAGGCTGTGCTGAGCCGTCTGTGTCAGTGTGCTTGCTCAGGTGCTGCCTGGGATAGATGGTGTATGAGGACAGAAATGGGGGACTCTCTTCTCTCTTAAACAGCAACTATCCTTCACAAAGTGGATGCTTTCCATCAGCTTATATGCTTTGTCATAAAATTTCTGCCTTAAACCCAGAGAAAGCCCTAATTCCCCATTTCTCCTCATTAGCTCCTAGCTTGCCTGGATATCATCGGATATGTGGTCTTTGTCTTCTTTCCTATTTTTTTCT